GATTTTGAACATTTCTTCATGTGCTTGTTGGCCATCTGAATGTCTTCTTTGGTGAAGTGTCTGTTCATATCCTGTGCCCATTTTTCAATTGGATTATTTACCTTTATCTTGTTGTGGTGAAGATTTCATATCTTGACATTTTTCAGTAGTTAATTCTTTCTGTTAATATAATTATATTACCTGGCATTCTGTCCCATGTCATATTTGAAATTTTATTAAAATTTCTCATCAGCTAGTGCTTCACTAGTCCATCCAAGTACTGGGAAGATCCTTTCGGGTCATTCCTCACCCTTTATCAGCTGTTCCAAAGATGGGTAACTAGAAAGCAGTGCATCTTGAGCCACGCTCACTCAATGCTTTCCCAGTGTCTCTGTAGTGTATATGGAGCACTCCAAACTTCCCAGTCATTTTCATCTTTGCTGATTTCTTATCTGCACCAGCATCCCTCCACCCTGCCCCAATATCTAGGTAGAAAAAGATGAAACATGATGTTGTTTGGTGTCCTCAGGTGAGTTCCAACTCATAACAATCTTATGTACCACAACTGAAAAATTACTGGATAGGGAGACTGTCAGACCAAATAATTTCAAGAATTAGCAAGTTTCATAAAAGCAGTGACGAGTCCTTGAGAAGGAGCTTGGAAAGGAAAAAGTCAGGGTGTGTGTGTCACAGCCAGAGCCAGTTTCCTGTTCTTTGGGGGCTGAGGACTGATGCCTGTAGATTGATTCTCATGGTTAGGGAGTGGAAGCAGCATGCAATAGTGTCTGCCTTGTTAGTGCACAAAGTCATCAGAAACTAACTAACCCAAAAGTATTTCCCTGTAAGTGTCATTTTTAAGGAATACCATTTAATCTTAAATACGAAAACTTACCTATGCTTTTAGCATTCTGTCATTAATTGAAATGTGAATGGAAATTAATGATGTGAAGTTTTAACAGATTATTGAAAATCTTATAATGTTTTTAGGAAGAAAATGAATGAGAATATACCCTTTCTGTAGTCTCTCTTTTAGCCACTAGATGGAGCCAAACATAAATTTAAGTTTAGGATTAGGCTGACTCTAGCTAGTTAACTTGAATGAAAAAATTTGGGGAAAATCACAAGGATACTGATGGACCAGAGATTACATATGCTTTTAACCACTTTAACTCTGTTTTTCTCTGTAAAATGTATGTATAATTTAATGATGTTGTTGTTGTTGTTGATTGCCTTCGAGTTGAGCACGACTCCTAGTGACCCTATGAACAAAAGTCCTGAAGCGCCTCCGACTGTCAACATTTATCAAGTTTATAGAGTTTCTGGAGGCATGTTATTTAAAATCCAGAGAATGTTAAAATTCTTAGTAATAAGTTTCTAGTTGTAAAATTATATTTGAAACAGGATTAAGTTTTGTTTTCTTTTCTATATTTACAGCTATTCTTGGGATGCACAATTTGATAACAAATACACAATTCTGTAATATAGTAAGAAGCAGTAATGGTGTTGACCAAGATCATTTTTCAAGTGAGTATTTAAAATGCTTTGTGACAGCCTGTCCTTCATTAAATATACTTTTAATGCTTACATACCAAATGCTGTGTCTATGTGCTTGAAACTTGTGACTCCTGATGATGTTAACACCTCAGACCTGCTGCTGTCCAGTCACTTCTGACTCCTGGTGGCCTCCACTGGTTTCCGAGACTACACATCTTCGTGGAGAATGCCTGTCTTCCTCCCATGGAATGGCTGGGAGGTTTGGCCCAGCCACCTTTCACACAGCAGCTCAATACATGCACTAAAGCTCTTCAGTATTAACATAGGAAGGCATTGAAATGTGTGTTTGCAAAGGTAATAGGAGTAATTCTGTCTTCACTAAATAACACAAATGATAAATAGTTTAAAAACTAGTTAGCCTTGGAATTTATTGACACAAGAGAAATGCCACAGGTGGGTGACTTTAACAAACAAAAGCTTATTTTCTCACAGCTGAGGAGAGGAAAAGTCTGAATTGAGGGTTAAGAGTGTCCGCTCTAAGGGAAGGGTTTCTATTCCTCGGTCCCTGGTGGAAGGTTGTAGGCAGTCCCTTCTCCCCTGGCTTTCCTCACTCATTGTTTAAGACACACCTTACACTAATACTGTCCTGCTAACATAGCAGAGAAAGCCCATCCTTAACTAGGATTATAGCCACAGGTATATGGTCAGGATTTACAGCCCATATTTTGGCTGGGAAACAGTTCCACCCTTAATAGTCTTATAATACTAATCAAGAAACCACATTATAAAATCAAATTAGGACAATCCCGAGGTCAGTTCAGCCTTTGAAATTTTGATTATGTTAGATGTCTTACATTGACACTGACTCAGTGTGGCCCGGTGACCCCGTGCACAACAGAAAGGAGCCCCCAGTCGGTGCCAGAACCGCAACCTCTGCTGTGCTTACGCCTGCGTGTGTCTCACAAGTGAGGCTTGTTTTTTTAACATAACCACAGTGTTGTTTTCACATTTAAAAATTAACTAATTTCTTTTTATCACCTTATACACATCCTATTTTCAGATTTCCTCTAGTATCTCATTTTATTTGTGAAAGAGGATCTAAACGAGGGTCACACATTGCATTTGGTTGGCGGCATTTTCAGTCTTTTAATTTCTTTTTTTTTTTATTATTTCAGTAAAAATTTACAGAGACTTTGGATTTCCATTCATTCATTGTTGCACTTTTCTCCCCTCTCAACCCTCCCCCCTCTTTTAATTTCTTGATTCCCTCTATTTTTCCCCTTGATTTCCTCTTCCAGTCTCTTCCCCAATACCATTACAAAAAAGTTTCATTGTGCTGTGAGTGAAAATTTACAAAGCATATTGGTGTTTCATTAAATCATTCATATACATTTTGTGTTGTAATATTAGTTATGATACCCAGAATGTCTGATTATCATTTATTATATATTGCCTTCCTCTTCATGCATCTTAATAAGTGTTTTCCATTTATTACTTTTTACTCCCCTTCTCTCTCTCTCCTCATCCCTGGAAGCCATCCAAGAAGAATTCCGTCTATGAATGAGCCCTTCTTCAGCTGTTTGTAATCATAGTTTTATTTTTCCTTTTGTGACTAAATTTCACTCAGGATAATATATTCCACATTCACCTACTCCCTCCTAGCCCTTATATAACATTTATTTTCATAAGATACTGGACCATTTGTCATGAAATTTCTCCAAATTGGCACCTTGCATCAATTTTGCTCCTAAAACTTGAAAGAGAGTTCTGGTAGCAGAGTCCCCAGTGAGCTTTGCTGCTAACCCAAAGGCTCTGTGTTTCTAATGGTTCATAGCTCAAAATCTAGATACCTTATAGTATCATTTTACATGTTCCGCATCCACTTCCTCAACAACATGCATCAGGAAACTCTTTGAACTTTGATAAATGATGATAGTTATAGAAAGGTTTCAGGCCTTTTGCTCATAGGGTTGCTATGAGTCATACTCGATGGCAATCAACAACAACAACCTCCTATATTTCTGTAAACTTGCTCCAGAGACTTGATGAGATTCAGATACAGTCTTTCAGCAAAAATATTCATAGGTGGTGCTATGATTGAATCACATTAGCATATAAAATCTGGTCACCTCGCTTTGAATGATATATTTAAACTTTGAGTCCAAGTCTTAACAGCCCTGATATACCCATTTCCTTAATGTTGTTGTTATGTATCATCATGTTGGAACTGACCCATAGCTGACCCTCCAGCAGGTCTTCAGAGTCAGTAAATCACATGGGAGGAGATTGCCTATCTTTCTCCCATGGAGCAGCTGGTGGTTTTGAACCTCGTGCCTTTGGAGTGACAGCACAGCTCTTTACCACTTCGCCACCAGAGCTCCCTATTTTCTTAACAAGTATCCATTAGCTATTTTTTTATTTTTATTTCTCCTCTCTCTTAAAGTTTCCCATGAGCCTCTCTTACCCAGCATCCTGCTAATCGGATCATTAGGGAGCATGGCTCTTCAAATATATGCAGTGTGTGAAGCCAGGAATGAATTTTTGCAGTTTTATAAAATCTAGACTTGAGGAAGAATTAGTTTCCCAGTTAGTGAAGTGTATTGAAAAGAGCAAAGTACTTTTATAGGTGATTTATTGAGTGAGTAATTGACGCACCTTGCATCAATTTTGCTCCTAAAACTTGAAAGGGAGTTCTGGTGGCAGAGTCCCCAGTAAGCTTGGCTGCTGACTCAAAGGCTGTGTGTCTCTAATGGTTCATATCCACCTGCCACTCTGTCGAAGAAAGATGGACAGTGTCCTTCAGTTGCTATTTATAGCCTCAGGTACCTGATGAAGGGTTTTTGTGTTGGATCCAACTCAGTGCATTTAGAAACGTGTCATTCTTTTCGTATCAGTTCCTCTGAACCTCATGGGGTTGCTCACCTCTTCAAGAATCTGATATGAAAAATAGTCTATTCTCCCTCAGGCTAAGATTTTGCCTGTAACAGGGCAACAGCCATAGCTCTATACATACACAATCAAGATGTGCTTAAATATAATTAAAAGATCCAAGAATTCTGGGTCTTCAATCTTTTCCTTTTTAGTAAGTAAGGCATTTGACTGTGTGGATCACAACAAATTGTAGTTAACCTTGAGGAGAATGGGAGTACCAGAACACTTGATTGGCTTATGTAAAACTTGTACTTGAACCAGGAAGTGTCCTCAGAACAGAGCAGGGAAACACTGCATAGTTCAGAATCAGGAAGGGAGTGCGTCAGGGATACATCCTGTCTCCATACCTTTTCAATCTATATGCAGAATAGATAATTCTGGAAGCTAGGTTTTATAAGGAGGAAAGTGGCATTAGGATTAGATGAAGATTCATCAACAGCCTATGTTATGCAGATGACACAAATCTTGCTTGCAGAACCTAAGGCTGAGCTAAAGTGCTTGCTGCAAAAGGTCAAGGACTGTAGTCTTCAAAACAGATTAAAGCTCAACATCAAGAAGAAAAAGATTATCACTGCTGGGCCAATTGACAGCACCATGATGGATGGAGAAGAGATTGAGTTTGTTAACAGTTGCAGCTTGCTAGGCTTCACAGTCAACACTCAACCAGCAGTCAGGAAATCAAAAGACAAATTGCATTACGTAAATCTGCTGATTTCCAGAGGGCTGAGAAGCATTCATGAGACTAAGGTGCGCCTGATCCAGGCCATGCTCTTTGCAATTATTTGCCATGCATCAGAGAGCTGTACAGTGACTGAGGAAGACAGAAGAATTATTGATGCCTTTGAGTTGTGCTAGAGAGGGTGAGACTAGGTTGCTCCTTGGAGGCTAGGATTTTGAAGCTCTAGCTCACATACTTTGGGCACGTAGCCAGGAAGGACTGATCCTTGGAGAAGGATGTCATGATTGGAAGGGTGGTTGGACAGCGCAGGAGAGGAAGACCCCAGATGAGATGAATTGACACAGTAACTGGGACAATGGGGTATGTGTGTAGAATCAGTTAGACTGGCTCAGGACAGGACAGGTTTCAGAACTGTTATATGTAGGGTCACTATGAGTCTCAGGCGACTCAATGGCACATAACAACAACATGTGAGCCTATAAAGTAAAAAGTTGGTGAATGGAGTTAAAGAGTACGAAAATGTTAGGAATGTCTGTATCAGTAGTTTTTCCCTGAAAACCTTTCCTCTCTTTTCCTGCTGGCTCCCTATTCCTGCCCTCTGCTTAAGAGTCAACATTGCCTAGTCTCTTCTACGGGACAAAGAGGTAATGAATCCCGCCATCACCTCACTCTTCTTGTTGAGTCTATGTATCACCAAGTCTGATTCTAACTGCTTTTATATAATTACCATTCAAATCTCAGGGAAATTTATGAGACGCTAGTTTCCATCATATCAAAATGTTCATTTCTTAATATTTTTAAAGGCTGAGTTAATTCTTGTAAATGGAATGAATACTTTTTTATATTTATGCACAATAATGTCTGCTTTAAATATGTGTCAGCCATATTGGATCTTTCTGATCTGCATGTGTGTATATGTGTGTGATATGAGGTACCAAGCTAACATATGCTTCTGCAAATAATAGTATTAACCAGTGAGCCTCTTACTCTTTTCATTTGCTAATTTAGATGTGGTAAAAGGTGAAAAGATTCTTCCAGTATTTGATGAACCACCAAATCCTACCAACGTTGAAGAGAGTTTAAAGAGAATTAAAGAAAATGATGCCCGTCTTGTTGAAGTTAATTTGAATAATATAAAGGTAAGTATGCTAAGCAAACAACAAGATTGTTTTATATTGCTTTGAGTCAGTTGGATCTAGGATGAGAACTGGATACCTTTGATGAAGTGGTCCTTTTCTCTTTACTTAAATGTTACATTTTGCTTCTAACACTATGCTAATACAAGTTCCTTCATATTTTGGAAATTTTAAATTAGTGTGTTATTGTTGCTTTATACTGGCGAGTTGGAACCAATTCAGAGCTGATCCTACAGTGGGTTTCCAGAGGCAGTAAATTGCAGAGGAGGAGCTTGCTCGCAGAGTGAGCCCACCAAGTGGCTGGTGGATTTGAACCATGTGCTTTTAGATTGGCAGAGCAGCTCCGTACCATTAGGGCAGGAGAGCTCCCTTTAGTTAGTAACGTTCTCTCTCACTTGCTTCTCCAAGAGTTTTATCAGGTAAGACCTTACAGACTGTCAGAAGAATAAATCGCTCTGGCTTTGAAAGGACTTCCCACTTCTTTTTTTTTCTTTTCTATCCATTCATTTGGTTTTTATTTTTTGGTTTTTTTTTTTATTAAATTTTATTAGTTTTAATGAACATTTACAGGGATTTTGGGTTTTCATTCCTTCATTGCTGCACCATTCTCTCTACCCTCCTCCCCACTTTGTTCTTCTTCCCCGCCATCCGAATGTCTGTTTTAATTGTCCAA